TTCGTCCCCAGATACCATCTGTTCATCATTCATCTCATTGCGTGAGACATTAATTTGCTTATCAGATGGCCGCGAAGCTATAGCCTTTTGATGACAGATACTTGCGATAACAGGCAACTTAGTTCAAGTCTAACTTTGCTTAAATATTTTATTTAACCACATATAAAACTTTCGAAACTGACTTCAGAGGTTTTACATGTAGAAGCAAGTTTGGACCCTATACTTGCAAAATGTTCGTTAAACGCATTGCTAATCTCATGTGAAGCGAACAATTTCGTGTCGCCAATTTTGAGTTCAGAAATGGTATTTGAAACATTTTTTCGATTCAAAATTTGGTTAATAGTTTTCCAAACAGCCTTGGGATTACCGGAATTTAAATTTAGTTTATTACAATAATAATCAGATTTTGCTTTTTTAATCAAGTTGTTTGTAACATTTCTTAATCGCCGATATGCAGCCCAGTCATCCGGTAAGTTAGACAATACAGCTAATTTGTGAAGCTTGTGTTTCGCAAAAATAGATTTCATTAATTCCKATGTAAGCCAAGGTGAGCTTTTACATCTTACTCTCTTAGATTTAGAGGGTGCATGTTTTTCAGCAATATTTTGAAAATTTGTTTTCCATTCTTTCCATGAATCATTGGGATTAACATGGATATTCAAAGAAATATTAGGCAAGTTTAATTTAAGTTCCTTGCGGAATTCATCAGATTTGAATTTAGAGAATTGTCGAATGGTCACATAACGATGTTTGTTATTACTCGAAGCGGCAAATTTTCTTATTGCATACACTAAATGGTGATCACTTATACCTAACGGAATAACTCCACTTGAAATTATTCGAGAGGGGAAATTAGTAAAAATGACATCAATTAATGTTGAAGATGTGGGCGTAACACGTGTAGGAGAGCGAATTACTTGTTTTAGATAAAAAATATCAGAAAGAGATTTTAATGCCCTTAAATTATAATCAGGAGTGGCATTAAGGAAATTGCAATTAAGGTCTCCCATTAATATAACTTCTTTGTCTTCCAAATCAAAATTTGAAATTATTGGTTCCAAACAAGCAAAGAAGTCAGAGTCGTGAGCTTTAGGAGGTCGATAACAAGCGCAGATTATAAAAGGCTTGGTTTTAGGATTTTGAATTTCAAGACAGAGYAATTCGAGATCTTTTGTAATAATTGTACGACGTGAAAAGGAGATATTATTCTTAATGTAAATACAAATGCCACCTCCATTCCTATTCCTGTCATTCCTAATGATTATATAGTTTTCTAAGTGAACTACAGAGTCAGATATCTTTTCATCAAGTCTTGTTTCATTTATAGCAAGGATATCAGCATTYAATGTTAGAGATATCGCTCTGAGTTCGTCAATATGTTTGGTTAAGCTAGTAATATTAAGTGAAGCAAATTTAAGACCTCTTACCTTAGGAATCAGAGTATCAGATATGTCAGGAGAAAACGAATTGACCTGTCTGTCAGTAATAATCTATTCATTATTAATAAGAGAAATAAAGTTTGTAGCCAAGGTAGATGTGCCTTTTTTGTTTGGGTGGATTCCAGATTTGTTTAAACACGATAAGTCAAAGTTGGAATGCGTGTAGAAGTTCCAAGTCCTATTTTTAGCAAATTTTGCAATGTTCTTGTTTACTTCCTTTCCTTTATCATTAAGCGAATCATTGCGGCAAAGAATTGATGACACTGTTAGGTGGCTGTTGGGGCAGTCGGATGAGATTTTGTCAGCAAGGTTGAGGAGGAAGGGACAGATAGAGGGAGTGAGAATGAGTGGGTAAAAGAGGGAGGTAGGGAGGGAAAGAGATAGTGATAGAGAGAAGGAGGAAGGGACAGATGGGGGGGGGGGGGGGGGAGGGGGGGAGGGGGGGGGGGGGGGGGGGGGAGTGAGAATGAGTAGGGCGGTTGGGTAGAGAGGTACAGATGGAGGAAGGGAGGGATAATGAGTGAGTCGGAGAATGGGTGAGGAAGGAAGAGAGAAAGAAGGAGGAACAGATGGAGGGCGAGAGAAGCAGTAGGTTGGTGAGTAGAGAGATAGGGCAAGTGAGAGGGAGGAAGGGAGGGTGAGTGAGAGAAGGAAAGATGGAAAGAGGGAGGGAGGGAGAAATGGAAAGAGATACGAAGGGACAGAGTAAGACAAAAAAGGAGAGAAAGAGAAAGAGAAGTAGAAGTAGAGAAAGAGGAAAAATAACAAATAAGCAAGTTTTGTAAAACAAAAAAGAAAACTAGAACTATAGTAGCTTCATGAAAGTAAATTCAACACTCACCTTTGGGAACATTATAAGACAGATAGTAGCTACCGCTGGGAAAATAATACAGACTGATAATACGATATACATTTCTTTATAGTTTTTGAATTCCAAAAGAAGTGATAAAAACGCGCCGACCACGGATAGCACGACAACATTGTACACACATATCCCAATGACTCTCGAATCGTTCAGGTGTGCGTATATAACGTTACGTGTTTCATAGGCAAGGAAAAGACCGTAGAGAATAAGAATTCCCTTGTAAACGTAGATTATCGTCAACCATACGACCATGTTCTCGGCGTGACACGTCCTGATGATATCCGTAAATAAGACGAACGTTTGACCAGGTTCTTTCTGTTGAACAATTATAATAACTAGTTTACTACTTGGATGGATGGATGGATGGATGGATGGATGGATGGATGGATGGATGGATGGATGGATGG